AAAAGAAGAAATGGCTGTGCAGGCAATGTGCTTTATTCTCTTGTATGTATATGTATGACGTCCACATGTCTGCTCTATACACAGACACGTCCAGTCTATTTCTATATATTCACATTGAAAGAACGAAATCAAAAATTTCGATTTTCATTGGTCAAAGCAGATCGAAAAGGCAAGACAGAATAGTTTGGCTCACGAAAGTCAAGCGCATGAGATATTCAAGCGCTTGAGGTAAGAATCTCATGGGCATAAGTTTCTTGAGATACGGAACTCAAGCACATGAGTCAAGAAAGTCAAGCGCATAACATCGGAAAAAATGCGTTTTGCATGAGCAAGAAATGTCTCCACGCCATGAGATTTTTACTCAAGAAATACAAGAAAGTCATGTGCTTGAGAAAAAAAGCTTCACTAGGGTAGCTTAGCGCGAAACAAACTTGATTTTTTGCGTGTATTACGTACACAAAGTGAGAAAATGTGCGTTGCGATGAGTCCTATTCCCACCTTAATTGAATTATAACTCGTGCAACTACAGCCTTAATCCCAGTCTATAAGGGTGATGTAAATTTTTCTTTTAATAGAAAGATCTCGTGCATAATTCCAGGACTAAGCGTCACTTTGTCCGATCAAGCTTCGATGACCTATACATTCAAAAAAGAGTAAACTTAAGTCATGACGTCAAGCAATGTTGTATATAAGATGCCTGAAATGCAAAAGTCGAGCAGAAAACGAACTTTTCGACTGAGACTTTGACTGCAAAATATGTGTACAATTCCTTGTCTTTTGCTACCTGCCGTGTAACTTTTTGCCTTGTCGCCTGACGATTCGAATGACGTATAAAAAGCGAGCAAAGCTCTTCAAACAAAAAGGATGATGGGTTAGTGGCGGAGCCAGGATTTCGGCCAAGAGGGAGCTCAGCTCCGCATCCATTGTCCAATGTATCTGTAGCAGTACAAGATTTTTTTCAAAATTTCACTCACTCGAATATACCGTGAAATTTTCTAGAGGGAGCTCAGCTACCTCCAGCTCCCCCCTGGATCCGCCACCATGATGGGTTTACCAGATCTGGGAGTCAGTGTGTGCCTAGATGATCCTATTCCAGCTTGCTGAGCGAGAGAACTGCGATCAAACTCGCTCGGACCTACATACCCGTACTTAGTTTTTGATGCTGAATCCGAATAAAATCGTTTCAACAAAATAGAACGGGCGCAGATAGGTGAAATCTTGAGTTTTCATGAAACTGGTCAAATTTTCGTTTCTTAAGGGGTAACTTGTATTTTAACGATTTCTCGCCCAAAATATGGTTTGAAAAATTAAAAAGTACATTCTTAATAAACTCGTCGAGCTCTATACAACCATGCATCATTTAGCCAAAAACTTTTTCTGCTGGACTTTTGCATTTCCGGCACCTTATATACATATATGTATGTGTATACTAGTAGTAGTAACAAAATAAAAAGTGATTCACTTGTAAACAAACGACGTGTCTGCAATGTCGTCGTTCATTAGTCGCTAGTGTACGGTCGTCATAACCCAGGCGGATAAAAAGTATGGAGTATTGGGCAATCCTACCTGGATAACCCAATCCAATACCCAATATACCTAGATACAAGTAAAAAGAAAGTATTGAGTATTGCGCAATCCAAGCTAGCTAACCCAATACAGTAGTCAATATACCTAGATAACACTATATTTTACCCGATATATATGGATGTTAGATCTGGATATTTTGTTGTGATATTGGGCAGTCCTATTATGAAGTTATCTAGTGCATCCCGATATCGTCTCAATATATTGAGATGCAAAAAAAAATCACGTTGGTTTTGTACTGGTTGCCTTGAATCATCGAGATTATAGGTTAGCAATTTTTTATGACTCTCGTTTTTCGTGAATATCATTATTATTCATATGATGAAGTATAATTAATTATAAAAGAAAATTAAATTCCTCTATATTTATTAATGCGAAATTTATTAGAGAGACAAAGCATATGTTCAATATGGCAAAATGTGCGTGACAGCGTCCTACTGACTAGAGTCCATCTTTTTATCTTTCTACCCCTCTTCAATATATTACAACCGGACACACTTTTCATAGAACATCGAATTATTTACATCTCCCGTTATTATTAAACGATGAGAGGGAAGAATAGGAGAAATGATAAACATATTTCCATAATGATAAAATGCTCTCTGAAGATTGTTTTTCGAAGAATGATATAATCAAACATGCTACTTTATTACTGTTTAGGTCTACGTTGTATAAATACGGAAGACAATGGATGTAAATTACATAAACACAACAATATTGCTTAAGATCGTCGAGAAATTTAATCACCGTATAAACTTTGCCTAAAGAATTCTTTTCATATAATTAGAAATATAGCAAATAACGTGTATTTCTTCGTTTCACTTCTTCTCACGAGAGATTTTGTACCTTGACTTCTTGAAATCTATTTAAAAAATGTGCTTCAATCCTTGAATGCTTCGTTTTATTCGGTTGCGTGCTGTAAAAAAAAGTTCTGTACTGGTGAGAAAGCAATTACGACAAAAGCACATTTAAAGATATATCTGTCTTCCCTTTTTGTCACATCTGATTTCCGTGTCTCTTCTTCAAAAGTGCTAATCTATTTGCATTTCGAAGTGAACATTATAGAGAACTAATCTAAGAAATTTTATTCAGAAGTCACAAAAAATATTAATAAGGTACAAAATCTCTCTTGAGAAGAGGTAAAAAGAAGAGATATCACGTTATTTGCCATATTCCTAATTACATGAAAAGCATTCTCTGGACAAAGTTTATACCGTGATTAAATTTCTCGACGAATTCTTTTTTATGCTATGATTTTTGTTTTTATTACGGTAAACAGAGCTCTCTATATTACCATTACCAACACGCATTACTTGTCCAAAGAAGAACGTTATGCAAGGAAGATCCTAATTTTAGGCAATATTGTTGTGTTATCATAAATTACATCCATTTTCTTCCGTATCTGTACACCTTAGACCTACACAATAATGAAGTGCTGAGATTATGATGAAAACTTTAGATTGAATGGACCGCTCAACAATTTTATGGGGCGCAAGAGTCACATTGGGCTCTTCGCACGGTATTGGTACCTTGGTGCCAATTGTCTTATTCTTCTAAGGTTTTCTGACAGATGCAAAGACAGCTTATTTCAAAGAAGGATGAGATGGGGACATTTCTCTGTATGCTGTTTCTCAAAATTCTGCTATTTTCTGAAAGGCATCAAATAACGTATAGTATGAAGCTTTTTTTTGCCAAAATATTGATTTTTCTTGAGTTATTAAATAATTATGAGTTAAAATTAATCAAAATATTGACGGCAGCATCGTTTCTGAAAGAAACTACAGTAGTACATAAGGTATATTTTTAAGTTAGTATTCTTCCTTGCAATTATTAGATATTCTTCAAAAACTTCGAAATAAATAGAGCGCGTAAATAACTAACATATGATTTTATATGACTAAAGTATTTTCGACGTTCAAATCAATTGTATTTAAACCATATCGTCTCATGCAAACATCGGCAACGAAGAGAAGTACTACTTCTCCACCACCTTCCTACGCAGCCAAATATGATTATGATTTAGCCGTAATAGGAGGTGGATCTGGTTAGTATTCTTTCTTCTTCTGCGACATTCAAAATAATGTTAAGAAGCATCTTTTTTAGGAGGATTAGCAGCTGCAAAAGAAGCAGCGAAACTCAATAAAAATGCCAAAGTGAGTGAATATCTATTTTTAAAAAGCTTTTTTTTTAAATAAAACTTTTTTTTCTTATGTATGGTTAGGTTGTTTGTTTCGATTTAGTCACACCTACATATCATGGCACAAAATGGGGACTGGGAGGTTCATATATATATGTACAGTTCAATTACACTACTCTTTTACTGTATTTTATTTATCAGGAACTTGTGTTAATGTTGGATGCATTCCAAAGAAATTGATGCATCATACCAGTTTAATGGGTATGCTTATGCATACACATGCTCCTCAATTCGGTTGGCAAGGTCTTGAGAACGTCAAACACGATTGGACAACTATGCAAAAATTAATTGGAGATTATATTAAGTCCCTTAATTTTTCATATAAAGTTTCATTAAGATCAGCAAATGTTACTTATCACGAAGCATTAGCTACTTTTGTCGATCAACATACCATTGAATGGAAGAGTTTGACTAAAAGTGGTCGACTAACGTTTGACAAAGCTATTATTGCCACTGGAGGTCGTCCATCGTATGCAACATATCCCGGTAAAGAATTATGCATTAGCAGTGATGATATATTTTGGACAAAGACCAATCCTGGAAAAACATTAGTCATTGGAGCTGGATATGTTGCTTTAGGTGTGTATCTAAATCTAAGAACTCATTTTGTATTTTGGTACATTATGAATTAATTCTAAATGTTTTTCTGCTTAGAATGTGGATGTTTTCTACATCATGTTGGTTGTGATGTGAGTGTCATGATACGATCACGAATTCTTAGAACGATGGATTTTCAATGTGGTGAAATGGTTGGCGAGTTAATGGAACGAGACGGAATAAGATTTATTGGGCCGGCTATTCCACAACAATTTAATTCAACAAATAAACCACAAAGATTAGAGAATGCAGAAGAAATTCGTCCAAATGTATGGAATCATGGAAAAGATGACAAAGGAAATCAACAGTATTTACATAATTCTGGTGCAATTGAAGTACATCAACCAGATGGAAAAATAACATGGATCCTACCAAAAGGACAAATTGAAGTGACATATGCATATAGTGATGGAGAACAGAAAGGAAAAGTTTTCACCGAAAAATATGACACTGTTCTGATAGCTATTGGTCGTACAGCGAATATTAGCAATATGGGATTAGACAAAATTGGCGTACATCATGTTAATGGTAAAGTGTTGGTGGATGAAAATGAACAAACAAATTTACCTCATATTTATGCGCTCGGTGATGTTGCAACAGGTAAAAGTGACGTTTTTCATATCATATATTGAACATTCCTGTATTTTAATTCACCTACTATCTGAATGATACTATCAAAAACTTCTTACTGTGTTGATAAATTGAGTTTTCTCCGGTTTGATCTTTATTAACTATTGGTTTGTTAATAGATCCATGTAGGTCAGATTTCATATGTTAACAATTGAAGAGTGACAATTAAATTATTGATTTGTTTGTTTAAAAATTCTTTTGTAAACAGAGTTACAGACTAGACTCATTTTCTTACTTTTTATTTAGGCGTCATTCATCATGGCAAAGATTTAGCATATCAGAGAGAAGTCACAATAGCAAGACCAGAACTGACTCCTGTGGCAATTCAAGCGGGGCAATATCTAGCTCGACGAATTTGGGGTCTATCGAAACAGTTGATGAATTATCGAAATATTCCTACTACAGTATTTTCAAGCCCGACTGAATATGCCTATGTTGGTTTAAACGAAGAACAGGCGAATCTGCCACGTGCAGGTAAACAACATTTAAGAAAAATGTCTTACAATTTCCATCAACTTATTTTCTAGATGGTGGTATTGGAGCTGAAAATGTGAACATCTATTGGTCTCGTTTTGGAAACATTGAAATCTCACCGATACATCCGCATTTAATAGAACCACGTAGTAATTTGTTTACAGGAAAAAATTTATGGTCAGTTACTTACAGTCAGAAACGAAATTTAGATTGGAATGAAGTATCGTTTAATACGGATTCATCAAGTAACGTACTATTCTCAGAAGATATTGGTGGTATGAAAAAATTGGGTGCACGCGTTACAAATAAATATAAGGGCGACAAAGGACAAATATTGTACGATATTGAATTGCAAGAGAATGACAAACAAGTGATTAAAGGTGTCACAGCTCAGCAATTACAGGTAGGTTGTTCATTTATTTTTGTTGGTCCAAGAATCGTTACTGTCAGTCATTTTCATTCTTCTACTAGCACTATTGCATTAATTAACACTTTTTTATATATTTTAGTTACATCCAGAACAAGAGTTAGAAATAGCAGAAGTATTCTATAAAGCCAATTGTTTAGCAAAATTGATTTGTGATAAAAGTAAAAATGATGTCATTGTTGGACTACATTTCATGGGACCGTCCGCTGGTGAAGTCGTTCAAGGTGAGTAGTCGTTTATTTAACGAACACTGAAAATCAGTTGAGTATGATTTTATTCTCGTTAGGTTTCGCATTGGGTGTCATGATGGGTGCAACGAAACAACAATTTGATGATTTAGTTGGAATTCATCCGACGGCTGCCGAAGAATTTACGGTACTTACGGTAACAAAAGAATCGAATCAAACATTGTTAAAACAAGCCGGTTGTGGTGGTGGCAGTTGCGGTTAGAATTTTTTGTGTTACTTCATTTTCAATTGATCATCTATTTTTTTCTGACTCTTCTTTATTCTTATAATTTTTATTCTCATCAAGCTGCTTAATGTATTATATTTAATTAATTTCTTATGAGTTTTGTTTGAAATAAATAGAATCTTAGTGAATATTGTGTCTGTATCGTGCCTTTAGTCGAAGATTATCAAGGACTTATGACGATATATTTTTGATTTACGTGAATTTTTAACTATGAATTTTTAACTATTCAGTACGGCGTACTGAATTCGAAGTTTAAGCACTATTGTATTTTTGGCTGTATTATACATGGTTCGATAGAGCTCGACGAGCTGATCATGAATATCTGGATTTTAGTTTAAAAAGATTAGATTTTTAAGAAATTTTCAAAATACCGGAAGGGTCTAGAATTTCATAAAACCGCTAGGTTGTGAAAAATAGTGACTATTTTTTTCCTGCCCCATTTTCAAAAGCCATAAATTTCTTTTTCGAATTTTTACGTCGAAAAATTATTGAGATTTTCACCAAAAAATGCAAAGTCAACTAAAAATTTCTAAATACGCATTAGTCGACTCAGTTTTTGATCCTGATTCCTGATGAATATGATATTTTTATTGCATAAAAGTTGAGTTCTGATGAAGAAAATTGAGAATTACGAGCAGTTTTCTTACTTTTTCGCCTCTGATTTAGAAAAATTGAATTTCTTACACGCTGAATTTGAGAAACAAATTTATGGCTTTGGAAAATGGAACAGGAAAAAATAGTCGATATTTTTCGCATCCTAACAGTTTTATGAAATTCTAGACCCTTCCGGTATTTTGAAAATTTCTTAAAAATCTAATCTTTTTAAACTAAAACTCAGATATTGATGATCAGCTCATCGAGCTCTATCGAAACCATGTATAATACAGCCAAAAATACAATAGTGCTTAAACTTCGAATTCAGTACACCGTACTACCTTCTCTGCAGAGATAGACGAGTTTTGTTTAGCGGTTCAAAGATGCTCGATAGTAAATTGGAAGATTTTGGTACATTGCTTTTGTCATATCCAACGACGTAAGTAGGATTTTTTTAAGGGGAAGGGAAGGCAAACGTGTTGCTTTACTAATTGATTTTATTACCTGAAGAATAGTATGAACTTTCACTCCCAGGGAGAAATATGTCTCGGTGTGTCCTCCTTGCCTATATCACTAACGATATCGATTTGCTTGGATTGAGACCATCGATTTTACGGCTTTATTTACCGTCAGCTTCAAGGGCCCCCCACCCTTCAGAAATGATGATTTTCGGTCAAAAAATCGGTTTTGAGATGCGCACGTGGAAAGATAGCCTGAAATGTCTACTTCCAGAATCTGTATTACTTTTGGTTACAAAACTGGTTTTTTGGAGATTCTGAGCAAGTTTTCTAGGAGCCTCCAAAAACCGGATCTCCAAATAATAGGTTTTTCCTGGATACTTATTCAATTAATAATTTTCTGAACACACAGCTTTGTAGAGCAAACGTTTCTGCTCAGAATAAGCCCTCGCACAACTCTGTATGACCTTGCATCAAAAAGTTACAGGTATTTTCCTAGAAGTCCTAAAATCGGGTATTTCATACAGCGTTTAAGAGACAGTCCGTGAGAAAACCGCGTTTTTCTGACATACTTTCCACCTCCTCAATTTCAAAATTCGTTTTTGATCACAGATTCTGAAAGAACGTATACGATTTGGTCAGAAAACTATTAAA